CCTTGAAAGGAAGAGCAGGAAGGATCCCCAAGATTAAGAATTCTTGGCAGCTGCTGGGAAGTTCCTGCAGTTTCTGCCACAGGTTCAGCCTGCCACAAATAGCTGGGCCCCTAAAGTGGGATGTGCCCCATCTTTAAACAAATTAAACCAAACAACAAAGAGACACAAAACATCAACTGAGACACTCATCTACAATATTTACAGGCACGCACAACCCACAGACAAGAGCTACACACCATGTTCCTTGTGCAGCCAGACACCACAGAATGCCCTGCATAAAAGAACCACCAAAGCAGAGCAATGTCTCTTGTCCCTGGTTCAGAGACTGTCCCCCCAGAACCTCAGCATTCTCCCCAATGAACTATCTGGGGGAATGTCTTCCCTAGGCCTAGAATTTTTGTTTCCCATCCTCAGCAAAGTCCCTGTGACTATGCTGTGCACTCAACCCCCCTCACTGGAGATGTCGTGTACACCCTGAGATCTGCCATTTCCCTCGAGGGAGAACAGAACCGCAAATTAGGACTCCATGCTCACTTCGTGTCCAGGACAAGACTCAGTCACACACACTTGATTTCTGAGGACACCCGACCACCAAAGTAGTACTTATAGTCCAATTTTTCCTACCTTGGCCCTTGCACAAGGTTGTCTGGTTGCTGTGGGTGGCTGTCTTTTGTCCCGATGTCAGTTTCACCATCTTCCGGAAAGAAAACAAAAAAACAAAACAGTCTCAGGCCTATCTTTGGCCTCCAAGAAGAGACGGGCTCCCAGGCAAAGAGTGGCCACCCAAAACCGGGTGGAACACGTCTCCCCCTCAACTGGGGCACAGAAACCCCAGACACACCCCCAAATTGTGAGAAATGCTCACCTGTCCAAATTCAAACAATGGACTTGGAGACAGAAGTATGGCAAAAACGAGACCTTTAATATGGTCTTGCAAAAGCAGGTGTCCTTCCGGCTGTACAGGCATACACGGAGCAGCAGTCACAGGCTATTTATCTAGAGTGCGAGAGTCCCTTCTCCGGTTCCTCATTGGCTGGTAGTTTCCTCATACGTCACCTGGGTCTTATAGTCTCTCATTGGGCCATTTCAAAAAATGAGCTGAGGCCTTTTCTAGTTGTCTCCACCATCCCCTGTCTAATTGAGGTGGCACGTGGTGTTTCATCCTGGGCGCCTCTGGGGTTTCCACCATGATGCTAGCCCACGTCCACAGTTCTTTGTTCTTCTATCCTCTTCCCTCCTCCCTCCATTCTGTTTGCCCTGGGGAAACTCAGTAATCATTTCCATTAAAAGCTGACTTTGCTGGAGATGGATCACAGAGGTCTATTTTCCACAATATGCCAATGGGGGTATAGAGGACAGGCAGGCTCTAATAAGAACTGCTCCCAAATCCCTGATAATCCTTCATATATTTTCAGGAACAAGCAGGCTTGTCATTCAAACTGTTAATGTAGGAAACATTCAGCCCAGCCGGCATGGCTCAGTTGTTGAGCATCGGACCTGTGAACCAGGAAGGAGGTCATGGTTCGATTCCCAGTCAGGGAACATGCCTAGGTTGCTGGCTCAATCCCCAGCCGATTAATGATTCTCTCTTATCATTGATGTTTCTGTCTCTCTCTCCCTTTCCCTTCCTCTCTGAAATCAATAAAAAAAATGTACATATGAAACATTCAAAACTGGAAAGAATTTTTATGAGTTTATTTGAACCAAACTGACGACAATCCCTGAGAAGCAGAATCTCAACATATTGAGATAAGGCTCTGGAGAATGGTGGTTTCTCATCTATTTTTATAAATTACAATCAAAAGAGGAGATGTAAGTGGGTCACATGAAATCCATTGGAGATGGATTAAGGAGGCGGGAGAAAGCAAAGCAGGGAAACCTCTGGGATTGGATAAAAAGTAAAATGATAGACACATACTTCTTTCACTTAGGTGGTTCGGGATAGTTGACAATCAACAATTCACAGATAACAATAACAATGGGGGAATCTGGGGTTTGAGCCCAGGCACCCTGGTTGTGCCCTGAGGTTCCAGAAAAAGGGAAGTTATTAGTTACCCTGACATTCCAGGGGTATGTTATTTTAGCTGCAAAATGACAATAGGTTCAGTCAAGATCAAAGTGACTTTGTCAGGGAAGATACTAGCCTAGGAACAGCTACCCACTATAAAATGCTTTTTTAAATTAAAATGTTTTCATTTAAGACCATCCTTTGTGTTTACTTTAGGTCTCTGAGTTTGCAAGGCTGCCACACAGGCCCCCCCCCCCCTGAGCTAGTCAGGTGAGCACGTGGCCCCCTTTCGTCCACAAAACTGTCCAACCTACTCTGGGTTTTTCCAGGCTTGTGCTTGGTCCTCTCCTAACCAGTCTATGGCCTGGATCTCCTGGGGTTCTGCACCCCATCTAATCTCATTCTTTCCCTAGTTTTCCCAGGCTGGACTCTGCCCCTTTATGCCACCACTGTAGCTCCTACAGCACATGCCCCAGAGTTCTGCTGCTTCATCTTGTTCCTGTTGAGCACGCACTCACTCCTGCTGCACCATCTTGGCTTCCACTGCACAGGTGCTGAGCAAAGGAATTTCTCTGCTGCTTATCCCTCCCCTCTGTGATCCTGACCAATGGCTGGTTTTCTCCAGACATTCTTCCTGCCCAGTGAGGGTGTGGTTGTTCCCCAGGGAGCCTGTGAATGCTGCAACTTCCTAGTGGCTCAGGCTTAATGTCTGATTCCGCTCACCACTAGATTAGGCTTAATGTCTGACTCCATTTGCTCCATTCATTTATTAATCCTCACCAGCCACTAACATTTTTAAATGTTAGTTTATTTTATTAAGTTTTATGTCATGATGAAAGAAGACTGAGCCAAAACATCAGCGAAAATGGAGGCTCAGTAGCATGATTTAATATATTTTCCTGGATAAACAAATTTTCTTTAAAAAAAGTATATAGCTTTTTATCTAATAAAAACTTCCTAAAAATTCAATGTTCAGAATTGAATTTTTACTAAATCCAGAAAACCAGAGTTCAGAAAATAAAAGCAGTGTGGGTAGCAAGAGGAAAGAGAAAGAAGTGGGAAAAAGGAGATTGGAATATCAAGTGTGACATCGCTGGCTGGCTTATTATTATTATTTTTCAGTCTATTTAAAACAAGGTGATCTCTCTGTGACCCTGCAGGTAAAAAATCCGAGTGTTTTAGCTCTAAGAAAGCTTTAAGAGTTCAGATATACAGATAAGCCAATTAAAAAAACACCTTTCTGTATAGTATTCTAAAGACTTTGAAGCATTATATAAAACTTTAAAATTCCTGTCACCCACATTTTAAGAAATAAACCTACACTTTAATAAGGTTCTCTTAAGTTATAAAACGGTCTTGAAAAAATTACATCCTATGCCGGGCTAACCCCTTCATCTGCCATAGGCACTGAGGGGCCGGTCGTCCCAAATCTCATCAAATCTGCAACAAACAAGCAGGCCCCTCACCCAGGAGGGACACCCAGAACATCCTAAATTTACCTAAATAGCTAAATGCCCTCACCCAGTTTTACACTGACATCAATGCTAGTACAGTCCGCCAGAGGGATGTATGAGAGCCTCTTTATTCTTCACTTTCATGGTAAAGCTTTCTGTAAGGATTCTCTAAGCAGTGGTTCTTCCCATGGGAGTGAGTGCTATCAATCCGACGCACTAGCACATCTTTAAGTTGCTTTTCTGACAGTGTATCCACTCTAATTCTTCTGTGCTCTCACACAGGCCTTTCTCCTGGTCAATAACCCACACTCACAGAGAACTCTGGTCCATATTCCTTTAGCCCCTGTCTTTAAAGTCATCAAGCTGAGGGCCAGGAAGCTGGGGAGTTATGAATTTATTGCTAATTGTATTATCCTATTCACCAAGAGGAAATTTTCTGAGTTCAACAGATTACAGCAGAGTTTCTTGATTTGGTGCTACTGCGGCTGTGGTGCCTGTCCATTCACTGGTTGATGTCTGGCGTACTCTTGTTCTCTAAGTCACCAGATGGAAGTTGCAGCTTCTCTCGTATATGACAACTAATGTCTTCCTCCAAACATTGCCAACTGGCTCCAGGGGCGGGGTAATTTTGCCCTTGGCTAAGAACCACTGGGTTAGAGAGATAAACACACAGGTGTACATGTGTGTGCATGCTCACCCACAGTGTGTATTGTCACCATGGCGTAGGAGCTTTCTTTTGGCTTTGCTTCTTTGGATTTTTTCTCCTTTGCTGTTGTTTGTTGGTTTTTATTTTTTAAATATATTTTTATTGATTTCAGAGAGGAAGGAAGAGGGAAAGAGAGATAGAAACATCAATGATGAGAGAGAACCATTGATCAAGCCCCAAAACTGGGCATGTTCCCTGACCGGGAATGGAACCATGACCTCCTGGTTCATAGGTCAATGCTCAACCACTGAGCCATGCAGCCAGGGCTGTTGGTTGGTTTTTAAACCTAAGAGAAATCTTCGCTTTAATCTTAACTCCCATTTTGGGGGTCTGTCCATTTCAAAAAATCTTTCTGAGTAGTTAATTATATCTGGTAACTCTATTAACTACCACTGTGTGCTTAGCACTCTGCTAAGCATTTTATATGAAATTTTTACATTTAATTATCAAAATAAGAAAGAGGTCCTGTTAGTCTCACTTTACAGGTGAAAAAAATGGAAGCACGGGAATATTAAGTCACTGGACCTAGGTTTCACTGTGTTTGAATGAGAGTTGGGATTCAGACCAATTGTCTGAGCAAGGGCTTGTGTGCCTTCTTATCCCCTGCTCTCCCTTCGGGGGGAGGGACCTATACCACCACTAACGGGTACCCTCTTAACTTCTGACCTCAGGATATTAACAAATGTGTTGAAGTTTGGTCCATGAGTCATAGTCACAAACATGAATTTAAATCATCTGCTATGTGCAGTTTACGGAAATGTTGGTTTTAATCGCCAGGTTTGCAGAAGAGCCAGCACTGACTGTGGACATGTCTTTCTCTTGTCACCACCAGAGCGTCTCTATGTGTTCCCCTGCCATTGGAACTACCGTCCTGACCACTGCATGTATGGCAGCAACTGCAAAAGGGCGGAGCTCGAAGGGGTGTCTGTTCTGCACGGGAACAGAGGCGTCTACCATGATGATAAGCAGCCGACTTTCAAAGCCCTATACGAAGCCATACGGGATGTAAGTATGTTCTTGCTACCATTCAGCAGGCATGTGCTTACAGCATGAAGCAGCGTGGGTGCTTCAGTCATTCTCTTCTTTGAAGGCCAAATACTTCCCCACAAGCATTGAACTATACCAGTTTTCCCCAAGCTAAGAAACTAATTATACTATACTATACTATACTATACTATACTATACTATACTATACTATACTAATTTTATTCACTCTTTACTTAGTACTTCCCAGTAAGTCACACACTTTTGTTCTCATAAATTCACTAACAGAGGAAATTTTATATCAGAAAGAGCCACCCTGTGCCAATTGCCATAATAGAGGGTAGTGGGTCAGGGTGAAGATAACACAACAAAATGATATTCATTTCAAACTACTAGTGTGTTGCCTGATTGCCAGTTCCACCATGTTGAGCAATCAGGTGTGGAGGTGGTCAGTTAGGACAAGGAGCCAACTCAAAACAACAGTCCAGTCAATGTGTATTAGTATGTGCTGCGTCAGTGCACGCACAGGGCAAGGGGGCCCAGTGCCTCCTGCTCAGAGCTCCACGCCACCCTCACTGAGTGCTGACGAGGGCAAAGGAATCAGCACACACAGAGGAATCATCTCAACTCCTTCAGCTTTGTGGGCCCTAAGCCCGGAGAGGCTGGATGAGAAGGAAGGGAGAGAGGAAGAGAAAGGTCACTCCTCTCCTCTCCCACAAGAAGGCCTCCACATGGAGGTGCCTGGTACAGGAGTGCATACATGAATATGAGCCTCGGGCATAGGCACTGAGTGTGACTACAGCTCCCTCAAGAAATCTAGAGTGCACTGCTTATGCCCATGTCTGGTGTGGGGAGGACAGCATTTCCCCAGAGGCCTCCCAAGAAGCCTGGAAATCACCTACGGTTGAGTCAGAGATCACACACAGGGTTTTGCCTGGAACTCACTCCTCAAGGCCTGAGGCCCCCTCTCACTACCTTGAAGAGACTGGTTAGCAGTGTTGAGGCGGACTTAAAGATATATGTGAATTATCTTTTGAGGTAAGTGGCATGATTGAAATAACCTTACTTTGAGGTTCACCACCTGAAATCATGTGAAGTACTGCCTGCTGGTACAGTAGACTCCCATATCCATGGGGAGTACTTTACAAGACCTAAGTGGATGCCTGAAACTGCAGGTAGTGCTGAGCCCTGTGTAAACTATGTTTTTCCTATACAGCATTCCCCCCTTATTTGCGGATTCACTTTTCATGGTTGCACTGATTGGCAATCATCGACAACCTAAAAATATTAAATGGAAAATTCCAGAAATAAATAATTTAAAGTGTTAAATTACACACTTCCCTATGTAATGTGATGACATCATAATGCCAACACTCTTAAGTCATTTAGTAGCCATCTTAGTTATTAGAGTACATTGTTAAAATGGATCTATTTTACTACTAGTTATTGTTCATTTCTTACTGTGCCTAATATATAAATTAAAATGTTTTATTGTTGACAGTATTACAGATGTTCCCGTTGTCCCCCACTTTGACCTCCTCCACCCAGCTACTACCCCAACCCAGGCCTTCACCACATTATTGTCTGCGCCCATGAGCTATGCATATATGCGTACAAGTTCCCTTCCTGTCCCCCCCATACCCTTCCACTCTGGCATCTCAGTGTGTTCATGCACCCATGCCTCTGGACCTATTTTGTTCATCAGTTTATTTTGTTCATTAGATTCCAAAAACAAGTGTGATCATGTGATGCTTGTCTTCCTCTGACCGGCTTATTTTGCTTAGCATATTACTCTCCAGGTCCATCCATGCTGACTCAGAGGGTAAGAGATCCTTCTGTTTTTTGTTTGTTTTTTTACAGCCGCATAGTTTTCTATGGTGTAAATGAACCACAACCCTTTTATCCACTCATCTACTGATGTGCATTTGGGCTGTTTCCAGATCTTAGCTATTGTAAATTGTGCTGCTATGAACATGGGGTACATACATTCTTTCTGATTGGTGTTTTGGGATTCTTAGGAAACATTCCTAGAAGTGGGACACCTGGGTCAAATGGCAATTCCATATTTAATTTTTTGATGAACTTCCACACTGTTTTCTATAATGGCTGCAGCAGTCTTCACTCCCACCAGCAGTGTACTAGGGCTCCCTTTTCTCCATGTCCTTGCCAGCACTTGTCGTTTGTTGATTTGTTGATTATAGCCATTCTGACAGGTGTGAGGTGATACCTCATTGTGCTTTTAATTTCCATCTCTCAGTTGATTAGTGATTTTGAGCATTTTTCCATAATGTCTTTTGGCCAGCTGTATGTCCACTTTGGAGAAGTGTCTATTCAAGATCTTTACTCAATTTTTAAATTGGATTGTTTATCTTCTTGGTGTGGAATCATAAGACTAGGTATCAAGTTATACTACAAGCCACTATAATCAAACAAGTGTGATCATGTGATGCTTGTCTTCCTCTGACCGGCTTATTTTGCTTAGCATATTACTCTCCAGGTCCATCCATGCTGACTCAGAGGGTAAGAGATCCTTCTGTTTTTTGTTTGTTTTTTTACAGCCGCATAGTTTTCTATGGTGTAAATGAACCACAACCCTTTTATCCACTCATCTACTGATGTGCATTTGGGCTGTTTCCAGATCTTAGCTATTGTAAATTGTGCTGCTTTGTATATATACAAACTTATCTTCTTTGTATATATACAAACTTTATATATTTTTTGAAATTAACCCATTTTAAGATGTATCATTGGTGAATATGTTCTCCCACACAGTGTGCTCCCTTGTGCTGGTGGTTTGCAGGGCTTCTGGTTTGTTTGTTCTCAGTTCTTTTTTTAAATATATTTTATTGATTTTTTACAGAGAGGAAGGGAGAGGGATAGAGACTTAGAAACATCGATGAGAGAGAAACATCGACCAGCTGCCTCCTGCACACCCCACACTGGGGATGTGCCTGCAACCAAGGTACATGCCCTTGACTGGAATCGAACCTGGGACCTTTCAGTCTGCAGGCCGACGCTCTACCCACTGAGCCAAACCGGTTTGGCTGTTCTCAGTTCTTGTGTGTGTGTTTTGTTTGTTTGTTTCCTGTGCAGAAGCTGTTTACTTGGATGAAGACCCACTTGTTTATTTTTCCTGTTTCTCTTGCTCTAGGAGATGGGTTGGTGGAAATTCTGCCATGTGAGATGTCTGAGATTTTAATGGTGATGTTTTCTTCCAGAATTTTTATGTTTTCCCAAGTTACATTTAAATATTTTATCCATTTTGAGTTTGTTCTTGTGTATGGTGTAAGTTAGTGATCTAGTTTTATTTTTTTTGCATGTATCTGTCCTTTTTCCCCAGCACTATTTATTGAAGAGACTATCTTTACTACATTGTATGCTCTTGCCTCCTTTGTCAAATATTAATTGAGCGTAATGGCTTGGGTCAATTTCTGGGGTCTTTGTTCTGTTTCATTGAAGTATATTCCTATTCCTGTTCTAGTACTAAGGTGTTTTGATTATAGTGGCTTGTAGTATAACTTGATACCTAGTCTTATGATTCCTCCAACTTTGTTCTTCTTTCTCAAGATTATTGAGGCTATTCAGGGTCTTTGGGGTTTCAAATAAATTTTTGGAATATTTGTTCTAGATCTGTAAAATATGCCATTGGTGTATTAATAGGGATTCCATTGAATCTATAGTTTGCTTTGGGTAGTATGGACATTTTAAAGATGTTAATTGTTAAAATCCATGAACACTGTAGATGCTTTCACTTGTTTGTATATTCCTCTATTTCTCTTCTCAATGGCCAATAGTTTTCTGAACACAGGTATTTTACCTCCTCGCTTCAGTTTATTCCTAGGTGCCCTGTTTTTTGCTGTTGCAATAGTAAGTGGGATTGTTTTCTTAGTTTCTCTTTCTGAGAGTTTATTATCAGTGTATAAAAATGCCATCAATTTCTAGGTATTAGTTATGAATCCTGCAACTTTGTCGAATTCATTTAAGTATAGTAGCTTTTTGGTAGATTCTGTAGTATTTACTATGTACAATATCATGTCACCCGCAAATAATGGCAGTTTTAATTCCTCCTTTCCAATTTGGATGCCTTTAATTTCTTCCTCTTTTCTGATTGCTGTGGCTAGGATTTCCAGCACTATCTATACTAATAAGAGCCTAGGTCTGTGGTCGGCAAACTGTGGCTCATGAGCCACATGCGGCTATTTGGCCCCTTGAGTGTGACTCTTCCACAAAATACCGACTTCTGCACATGGGCCACAAAGTTTCAATTGCACTGTACGTGCGCGCCCGCATGTGGTATTTTGTGGAAGTGCCACACTCAAGGGGCCAAAGAGCTGCATGTGGCTCATGAGCTGCAGTTTGCCGACCACTGGCCTAGGTGGTCCTCACTCCCTCACGCATCACGCCCTAATGTCATCACAAGATGGCCGTCACAAGATGGCTGTCACAAGAGGGCCGCATCACAGTGGAGGCAGGGCCCAGTGGAGGAGGCGGGTCACGGCAGGGGAAGGCAGTTGTGGGTGATCAGGCCGGCAGGGAAGGGCAGTTGGGGGCAATCAGGCCAGCAGGGGAGCAGTTAGGTGTCGATCAGGCTGGCAGGGGAGCGGATAAGGAGCAATCAGGCTGGCAGGAAGAAGCAGTTAGGGGTAATCAGGCAGGCAGGCAAGCGAGCGGTTAGGAGCCAGTGGTCCTGGGTTGTGAGAAGGATGTCCAAGGGTTCCCAATTTGAAAAGAGTCCAGCCCCGCCTAAGGAACCCCCCCCCCCCCCCCCCCCGCATGAATTTCATGCACTGGGCCTCTAGTATTGAATAAGAGTGGTGAAAGCAGACATCCCTGTGTTCTTCCTGATCTGAATGGCAACACTTTTAGATTTTGCACATTGAGTATGATGTTGACTGTAGGTTTTTTTGTACATGGCCTTTATTATGTTGAGGTATGACTCCTCTATTACCACTTTGCTGAGAGCTTTTATCATAAATGGGTGCTGGAATCTGTCAAATACTTTTTCTGCACCTATTGATAAA